AAATAGTTTGGATGAGTTTGGCAATTTACTAACATTCTTCAAGCTTTTACAGTTAACTTATGCCCTGTTTGAACAAAAAAGTTACAAAGAATTTTTACCCCTGATATAGCCTCAACTCTCAAAATTTCATGCCTGTTATGTTCTATTTATTGCCCTAGTAGCTCTTCATATGACAGATGACATTGACCTGATTATACATTTATGTTTATAAACAAATCATAAAGTCATGTTATCAGTATCGATTACCTAGAAAAATATTTTGCTTTTATATCAGCTTATTTTCTTGTGAATAACTCATTTCTCGTGTCCAGAGTAGTTTTTCCAGTCTATGACATTGCATTGCACCATATTGCACATTAAAATGTGACTCCATAAATGGATCCTCATTAACAGCTCTGTTGACAGCAAGACTGGTCGACTTTTCATGAGTGGGCGACTTGAAGAGGTGAGAGTTAGACAGATTCGAGAGCTTCCATTATATGGTCGACACACAAATATTTATAGACACCTGTATCTTACGTAAGTCGGCACAAATAGTGCATATCAGAGATTCTAAACAGGAGCGCATGAAACTTGCACTACCATAATATCTGAAAGGGGTGGAAGTTTCTTGTTAAGATGCATGATATTCTGTAATAGCAAAACAATCAAAAATCAAAGTCTTACAGAATATGGGGAATACTGCAGATGTACCAAATTTCCATCTCTGAATTTTGCCTAGAAATATTGGTGACATGGACAAACATTGGCTGATGGCTCAAAAAGGTCAACTAATCCCCTTTTCAAATCTTACTCATGGAATTTCACTTTTGCATCACAAATTGTGGCATGAAGGCTGTTATACCCCTTGTCATTTAAGGCTGTGACTCAGATTATCACATCAGGTGACAAAACAACCTCCATTCAGATTCACAATTGTACTTAATGCCAACAGCTTTCAAGGTCGCTCCATTTTGGGTAAAACGCAGTTACAAATTCAACATTCTGCATTGTCTTAAATACAAACATGCATGCATATTTGACCCAGGATGACAAGTTTAATGTTTGCTGCTTCGAAGCAGCTCTGTCACAGATGCACTGACAATATCGCCGGTCAGATTGGATGTAAACATTGAGAATAATTTAGTCTTTTCAGAAATCCCGCTAGAAGTTACCTCAATAACCCCATACCGCCAGCAAATATACAAGTATTGCTATGCATTCCACGTGATTTTTATAAATTACTCACCAACCCTCTGTCCCACCGGGGTGGTAAAGGGATTTCCAGCGAAGAACGACATCTTGATATTGAGAGATGAGATTAGTGAATGACGTCATGTCACATGATTTCTCGAATCCTCGTCACCTTAAAACGAATTCATTTATCATTACTAGTGCTAAAAAGAAAATAAAATAATTTAAAAAAGTAATAATATCTTATCTATAGAAGGTTATGAATTAATAAAATAAAAAAATATTTCGAGACTTTCGGGTAATTTAAATATCACCTTGACAACAGGCGCCATATTAGAGGACTTCGAATACGACGATTTTTTCAAAGCAAGGTAAATTTCTTGTTTTTATTTTAATGCGACTCGTATATTTCCATAAAATTTCTGTCATATGAAAACGAAAAAAAGCACCCACCTCCACATAGCAGTACTTCTATTTCCCTTTGTTTTTTTACGTAAAATACATTAGCACATAAATTATCCCCGTATGCACAAAGTGGATTGAAATGACTGATATCGGCAATATAGCATTGACATTTTTTCTCCAGACTATGCATATGTCAAACCAATAATTTAATTTTTATGTGGACGAGTTGATCGTGTGCACAGAAACTTGATTGAGACAAAAGTTTTCAATACAATCTGAGTAATGGGCTTCTATGCCTCAGTTTTCTGCTTAAAACTAAAGTTACATGCATTGCAAGGTTCTTATTGCAGACAAGGCCACATAACACCCTATGTTACTAAAAACTTAACGTTACATATATCCACATCCTGGTTTCACTGTGTGTCCTCCATTGCACTTTAAAGAATGCCATTCACAAATAAAGTCATTTTGTATCGGTTTATGAACAAGTTTGATAACATTTTACTCTTTTTATTCCAATTATGCAATAGTGTTTCTAAGCGTGTCATTTGTAAGTGATGCCACATATAGTTAGGGTTTCTTACATAGGGTGATAGAGGTCTTACCTGCATTGCATGTCAGGCCAAAAACTGAAGAAGTCTTTATTGGCTAGCATTCTTCTGGAGGTAATTTTTTAAGTACATGTATAACTCAGTGGAAGGATTTTATATTGATATTTGCGCTTTAATTAGTAGGTACTGGAGTTCCAGTAGTTCAAAATGAGCCGGCTGTATGACACAGTGGAGCCATCTGTGATAGATGATGATATGCTCCATAAAGCAGTGGAGGAACAGGGACCCAAAGAGGAGGCTGGCAGGATTGCCAAAGCTGAGGGAATTGATTTTGCAGATGTCAAGTCACTCAGATTGGATTTTAAAAGTAGGAATTGATCTAAGTTTTTGTTCAAACGCTAATTGAAATTTTCGTTCTGAGCAGTAGTTTATTATATAACTGTAAAAAATTTTGATATTAAATGCTGTTATTTGTTTTACTAGACATACGGTCAGTTGTAACATTTTTGATATGTCATGCACATGGTAATATTACCACTTGTTTGATAGTTTCTTGGTCTCAGCAAGCAAGAATCCTTTTGTAATGTAATGTTATATGCATCTAGGCATACTTATTTTATTCATTTTCAGATATTTTGAAGATAGATAATCTTTGGTGCTTTGACAGTTTGACCAAGTTGCAGCTGGACAACAACATTATAGAAAAGATAGAGGGACTGGACACACTGACCAACCTGATATGGCTAGGTAGATATATTATTAAAAAGTAGGAAAAGTTATGTTTGTTTGATGAATCAATGAAATTATGCCAATCTCACTCTTCTCGGCTTTTTTAATGTTGTAATTTCTATATAAATGTAAGTTAAATCTTCATAGGATGTTGATAAGTTGTAGTATAACATTTGCTATGGCAAACACATTTATTTTTCAGACTTATCATTCAACAACATAGAAGCTATTGAAGGCTTGGAGAAATTAACAAAACTCCAGGATTTGACATTATACAACAATAGAATTTCCAAAATAGAAAACATGGACTGTCTACCTGACTTGCAGGTCTTCTCTATAGGAAACAATGAATTGGATGAATTAGAAAATGTAAGTGTGTGAGAAAAGTAAAGTCAGGAAAAGATTTAATTTAGTTAACAAATTCAGTGCTCTTTAAATATACTAAAAACTGAAATGCTGTACAAAATATTCCCCACAAATAAATGAACAGAAGTTTTACATTCAAAATAACATTGCTTTGAAATTTTATCAGAAACTGAAAATCTGCGGTTATTGACATCTTCAAGAACCTGTGTAATATCATAAGAAGGTTAATTGTTGAAAATTGAAAATCATGGACCACCTTTTATGATTCTCTTTCATTTCTCTTTCAAAAGTAAAATTACTTTCATTCTGTATTGGTACCATTTTGTCATTACAGCCCATGCATGTGGTTTTCCTTTCTCATTACAGGTTATTTATTTAAGGAGATTCAAAAGACTGAAAACTTTAAATTTGAATGGAAATCCATTTTGTAAAGTGTGTGTCCAGGAAGAAAACCCAGAGGATGGTTCAGAAGCTGTGTATACTGAGAATCAAGACTACAGACCATTTATCATTGCATATCTCCCATCTCTTGATTATCTCGACTACAGGTTAATAGATGAAAATACAGTAAGTGAATCTCATGGCAGACTAAGCTGTAGATTTTTTACTGAAATTCTGCAATGTTAGGAATCCTTATCAGTTTAGCATCAGTCAGCTATAATATAATGTTAAAATTTTACTAAGATATTTCAACATTTGTATTTCTCATTTTATGGGTTAACTCTTCTTTTTCACAGCGGGCTGCTGCAAATGAGAAATATCACTTAGCAATTGAAGAACTTACACACAACGAAGAAGTGGAAAATAAGAAAGAGGAAGAGAGGCAAGCCAAAGAAAAAGAACACAATCTACATAAGGTGAATGTTTGAATACTTGTGTTAGTTGTCATCTAGCACTGTTGTAGCAGTGTCCATTCTGACGTCATTCATGATTGTAATGAATTTGTTCTCTGTGATAACATGTCTTGATGTATCACTGTCCTGATCTTTACCACCGTTTCCAAAGTTATCTTGTTTCCAGTGTTGTGTGTCATTTATTATTATTATTATTATTATTATTATTATTATTTTGCAAGTCTTCACAATTGCTGTTGTTGTCAATGTCAATCTTATTTATTTTTTTCTGTTGGAAAGAAATATTTTTTTTCATCTTTTTGAAGATATTCTGTTTCAAACAGTGCTTTTGTATTAAATTTGCTTTTTCTATGCTTTGAAAAATTTTCTGTTCTACATAATATAACAGATATATAATTACTGTATTTTATAGGCTGCCTATGTTGAGAATATGGATGGCCCAGCATTGTTCCACATAATATAACAGATATATAATTACTGTATTTTATAGGCTGCCTATGTTGAGAATATGGATGGCCCAGCATTGTTCCATGCTATGTATACAGAAGATGCTGAAGGACAGAAACTGGCTGACATGCCTGGAGTGGATGAAATGCTTGTTGTATATCCTTTTATAAATCTATTAATTTTTTTTTTTTTAATCAGCATTTGAAAATGTTTTTTTGAGTATTTTATGATCTTCTACACTTACATCAAAGAAAGTAGTTTATGAAGGTTGACACTATTATACAGACCATTTTGTATTATTATTAATTTTATAGACTGTTGGCAAATTATTGCTGCTTTATATTTTCACCTTTGTGTTCATTTTTTCTCCTTGACTCATTTGTACTTATAAAGAAAAGTATGTGGCTACATGTCACCAAATATTTGAATATGGTCTCCAAGAGCATGAAAGACGAATGGAGGAAGTTAATCAGTTCTGGGACTGCATTGAAGAGGCAAAGAGGGAAAACAAGGAAATGGGAATGAAACAGATAAACCAATTCATGGAATATAAGAAGAGGGTGAGCATTGCAAATATAATTAGTAATATAATCAGTATTATTGGTGTTTTCTGATGCATTTGATGATGCTGGATACAGTTATGTTATACAAGTGAAGACATTTCATACAACACCAGAAGACTGACCACTATACTGGGCATACAGTAACAGCTTATAAAATTTGATATTCTCCAAAAATTTTTTGTTGGTAATACATAATTTAAAATGTTGTTTTGAAAATTGTAAAAATACATTTGGCTTTATATCAGAGGGTACTTTTTTGAGTAAATAAAAATCATAAATCAAGATAAAGGAAAACACAAAATGGGTGAAGTATTGGAAATTTTACTGAATTATTTAATTTTTCAGCTGTTCCAAGAGTTAACACATCTGACAGACCAGCAAGTGTTGGATAACAAGATCACAGAGTACAACAAACGTCTCCAGGAACTGTGGGATAAACTAATGGGACTGGAGCTACAATTGGTGGATCAGTTAGAGGTATAAGTTTACCTAGGCATTAATCAAGAAAAAAATAATAATTAAATGAGTGTATTTCTAAAATGTTTTTAATGGTAACTTCTTTTATGACACAAAATTGCTATATGGCAGAGACGATACAAAGTTGATACTAATCAAAGACTGATATATCCTCAAATTTAGGAAGCCACCAAAGACTTTGAAAGAAATCTGTCCGATTTGGTCTCAAGTTTCATAGAGAACTGTCAGGGTCATATTTCGGCCCTGAGAGACCTGGAGAACATACACCATGAGAAACTGCTGGAAATATCTATCGTCACCCTGGAGAAGGTAGTGAAGAATGAACTGGATGAGGAAATCCCAGAAGATCTCAGACTGGTAAATCTTATTTTCAAAATGTTTACTCTAACTAAAGCCTAGTTTACACATGATTAACCATTTGCTTCTTGTGTCATCCTCTGTGGTCTACAAGTATTAGTGCAGTTTATATATAACTTTCCAGTCAAAATTGCACAACACTTTGCAAAAGAAAAGGCTATGTCATTTTTTAAACTGATGGTAAATTTGGCACAAAAATCTTGGTTAGAATACCTCCCATTATGCAAATGTTTTAATGTGCAATTAACTGTAAGTGTAACTTAATTTTCCCTTCTTTTCAGTTGTTTGTTGACAAGGACACAATCATCAATGCAGTGAGTAGTTCTCATGATATCCACTTACTAAAGATAGACAACAGAGAAGACGACATAGTGACCAGGATCAACCAGTGGATGTCACAGCTCATGACAAAGATACACGAGGAAGAGGAGGTGAAGAGAAATCGAATGAGGGTGTCAGAAATAAACAATCTTATTGACCACTTGAGAGAAGAGATGGATACCTTGGATCTGCAGCTGGGATATAATTAAATCTCTGAGAAGCATAAAATCAATGGCAGAGCTGGTATTTGAAGAGGCATTTTCTTGCCTTGGTATTTATCTGTGGTAGGATGCAATGACTGTTTGAAAGATGTTTTGAAGTCTTTACATGCTGCATGTTACATAGGAGAATAAACTGTTGTGATCCATTTTATATGGTGGTTTTCCAAGAATAACTGTGATACATGTACCCCTGGCAACTGCATTTCCTGGAATTAAAAATTACATCAAATCCCAGAGCTTCATCGGAGGTCTGCCTCTATGAACATGGTTTAGTTCAGTAAATATGTAACATACAAATATCATCATTGTACTCCCATTTCTAGTAAAACTTGGGTGAAACATAGTTTTCTTCAGATATCAGTTTATGTATAACGTCTTGCTTGGTTGCTCTTTATCATTCTTGAAGATGTAATATGAATGCACTATGATAACAATGTGTAAATATTTGTAAAATATGTAATAATAAGATAAGTACATTTGTATTAAATATTTTTTATTAAAAATAACATATGGGTTGTCTGGCTTTTATACCCAAGTGTATCCATTTAAAAATTTTAGTCCTGTCCAAAACAGAAGTTGACAAAGAAACATTAAACAAAATTGCAACAATGAAGGCCTTATTACATTTGGCATGAAGAACTGTTACTGATTAACCAGTAAAAGCAAATGAACTGATTCATGTAGAATATACAGATTGTGTGACTTTATGCAACTTATAACAATACCATCCTATCTAAACAATCCATGACGGCGAAAGCTAGTCATTTTGCGAAACATTCTAGATTTTATCTAAAATGACATCAGAAACGATACAAATGCCTGATAATTGAGCATTTGCTATATATACTTATTTGTCACAAATTCCTTTTGATACACTGCTGTTACATCAGGAAAAATTAAAACTGTAACATAATGACTAGCATGGATTATATCACAGCAAATATTAAACAGTGATAAAGGAAAAAGAATATAAAAATCTGGAAGTACATAACTAGACAGCAAAAGCTGACAAACGTACAGATACTAAATCCAGCACAAATTTTGAGAATACATTACCAGGAGTCAAATGTACATAGATGCACATCAAGCAAAATTTAACTAAACCCAAAGAAATGAGATAAAACCTGTTACAAAATGCTTACTTATGTTTATTTAGAATCTGACTTGAAGTCAAAGTGTGCCAGTTTTTCCAAACAGTTTCGGACTCTTTGCTATGGTTTCACAGATTAATCTAAAGAAAAACAGTAATAATAAAGAATCAGTTATTTTTGTAAAAATTTTCCAATCAAGTCATTATGCTAATCTTCAATCTTGACATGCACTTTTACTTTACTGAACAATACCTACAGTCATTTAGAAGTTTTAAAAAATGCATGGTTTCACTGTTTGGCAGTAAGTGAATAAACATGCTGGACAGCAAGTGTCATGGCCAGACAAGTGATCTGAATGTGTTCACATTAGTGTCTGTATATATAAATATTTGCTTAATCCTCAGAAATTATTTAAAAATGTCTTAACAAATAGCTTTAAGGCTGGTAAGCCACATTAATTTTCACAAAATAAAAATAACTTATAGAACAGTAGTGTATCCTTCTGCCCTACTGGAAGTGCAGTAGTTCCCATCTGGAAGAATTTTATTTTCATGCAAAGTTAGAAACTAAAAATGGCACAATTTCTTAATCTTCTGTTTTAAAATAATTTCTGCTGTTGCCTGCATAAAACAACAGTTCCAAACATGAGAAATAGATTTCTCAGAGGATATAAACCAAACTGGAAAAAACAAAACATCTCTTCTCGTATCTTGTTGTGCCTGACAAAAGGCAACACACAGAGGAAAACAAGCTGGCAAATAAATTCAAATCTTCCTTTGAAAGTCATTATTTTATAAACCAGCTAATTCATAACTGTGGCAAAAGAATATTAGAATTGCACTTTTGTTTCTTCGTTGGGGACTGCCCCAAACCCAGCGCAGACATGAAGATCTGACAATTGCTAATCTTGTTACTGCACTTGTGGAAAATTGGGAGTGACATACTTTTTGTCCCTATATTTCCATTCTGTACACAATAAATACATACATCCCCTGTATCATGGCAGTCAAAATTACAGGCAGTCAGATTTACTACAATTCCCCGTCCACATAGTCACTGTTATCTGAATTGGTAGATGGCAATACTCTTCTCTGGTACATGAGTGAGATTCAGAGACTGGTACCTGGAAATTGAAACAGAACAGATGCTGAACACCTTCAATACCAGTGCCATAAGTGTTGCAGAACAATCGCAACTTAATAGTTAGTTGACACTAGGCTATTTCTGACCAGAGAAGACTACCATAAGATATATTAAGTTCTCAAAGCCTAGTATATTAATGCATTTGGTTACAAAAAAAAAAAAAAAAAAGAGAGAGAGAGAGGGGACTTGCTGTTGACATTTATAACCCAATTAATTGTAATTACCACTCCGAACTCCTGTGATAGTAATATCCCTCTATGGTTGCTGTTGACTTCTGAAAACAGATATAGTAGAATCCAGCAAAGGAGGCTCCACTAATGTCTTTGATAGTGTGGTCTGGAACCAGGAAGTGTTCCTGTAAAGAATGATTAAGCATAGTCATATCTCAAATTAATTCACTTTTAAATATTTCAGGTTAGATACCATAACTTAAATGCAAATGTATAAGTACCAAGGATTATGAACTCATTTGAATTACAACCATATCGTGTAATATTAACATACCATTCTCCATGTTTTACAATTAGTGTTTTCATAATGAACACACTGTAATACTGCAATGCAGAGTGTCTTTGGTTTAATTTCTTTATCTATAAGGTTTGTTTTAATTTACTAGTAAGTTGACTGTTACCTTCCATCGCATGAAAACAAAGTCTGTGTTTTGCAGGTCTTCATAATCAAAAGTATCTGAGTTAAATGTCTTGGCAAACTGGTAAAAGGATAAAAACTTGCCCTAAAACAAAGATCTAACCATCACAAATAGTCAACTGTAAGTGTTCATACAAACATAAACAATATTCTTACTAAAAATTATTGTATCTACTAAACATGATAAAAGATACTGTTAACTTACTAGATTAATGCCCTTTTCTAAAAGGTCAAAATGTTGTATGTAATTAATTGGGAAAAACACCTTTAGTCTCTTTTTACTATGAAAATAGATAAACAATTAAACACAACCTCTAAAAATGTGTAGCTTAAAAGAAAGTTGCCCCATATTCCCATACCCAGTGTTTTCTGTCCACGTCTTCATCAGCCTCCCACTTCCTGGTCAGGAATGGATGTCTCTTGCTGATGATTTCACCATCAAAAAAAGTTGTCAGTGTGGGAAACTCTTCTGTCAACCCTTTGATTTTTAAGTATCCACACAAGTATGAGTTGTTCAAGTCAACATGCTAAAAGTAAATAAAAAATTAAAGAATATTTTAGTTGGTTATATTTGATCTTTATCACCCCATTTCCATAGATTAGATCGAGCTACTTTAGATCGGCCTAACTCCCTGGGGGTTCACGCTAAATAGCTGTCAGCCGGGCGGACACGAAAGTTAATTACCCCCTTACAGCTTGTAGTAGGCGGGACGGACATTTAAGTCAGATTATCTGAAAGTAATCTAGTGAGACTCCCCCCGCGGGGATAGATCGATCTAAAATCTATGGGAACAGAGCCTAAGTCTCCCCAAGCAGGTTTCAGCAAGATAGCAGTCCTTGTTTAAGCCACTGACCACTCA